CGGTTTTCTTTAGCGGTATTGGCGTGGCACCGTCTTGCTGGAACCATTGGATCTTAAGCGTTTCCGGATCTCTGCTAATCCTGATATTGCAGAACCCTCCAAAACGTCGCCAGAGCCACCCGATATCGCTGACCATTGACAGTCTGAGTAGCGCATCTCTCACACAAGTGGTGTTCGCCGTGAGCCTTTGATTGGGTTTATGGCCGCCGCTGTGTTCCTTGAATTGCGTGAACCTATTGTTAACAATTCCTCGAGCCAGAAACTTGTCAATAACGTGGAAAATTTTGTTTCATGATGTTGCTCTCTTTGCCCTAAAGTGCTTGCGGATCTTCCGTGGTGTCGAGCCGACCCACTTAGTCTGGGAAAGCATAATTTCACGAGTTTTGCTTTTACTTCCTAAGACCACGGCTTCATCTTTTAAGCTCAAACCATGGTGTCATATAAATCTACGAAAAATTCCCCGTTTTTCCACGTGCATTGATTTTACTTAAATGTTGTTAGGGGTCCTCTATTCGCAAAGAAATCCGTCTAACTTTTTTGAGAAGCCCGGTACAACAGTAATCTTGCGGTACAAGAGCTTTGGTCAGGCTTGGTCAAGTTGGGTGCATTCGCCAATCGCCAGATAACCTGTCGTAAAGACGGCCAAAAGCGATTAACAGAGTAGCTATTATATGAGAAAACATGTAGGTATGTATAAGAGTTGTATAGTTATACTGTATACAGTATATATAGTTAGATTTATTACGGAGCGAGCGAAGCGAGCGTAGTCTTTCCTTAGATTAACGGAGATTTCTGAGTATGAGCGGCCGGCCGGCCTGCCGGCCGGCCGGCCGTGGTCACGCTTTTGCGAGGCTTATATCTCAGCAACCACTTGACCGATTTACACGCGGTAATTTTTGTAGGGTAGCTTCATTCCTTCTACCAAGTATTGGACTATTCCTGATGCATGTGGGTGACCCCTTATGCACGTGCCACGTGCAAAACGAAGAGGTGTCCGTTTTGTAATTGTTGCAATATCTCGGTAACTACTTGGCCGATTGCGCTGAAAGTTGGCATGCCTAGGTAGGCACCCACTAAGCACTGCATATCCATGTGCCAGAGTTGGGGCGCTGCTGCACGTGCGCACGTGCAGGGGTCGTTTCCAGATCTCGAGAACGGCTCGACCAATTACCCTCAAATTTGGTACACAGTTAGGGGCCGGTTAGTAGGGTGCCGTGCACAAGTCAGTTGGGACCCATTTTGCACGTGCGCACGTGCAGGGTGCCGCTTCCAGATCTCGAGAACGGCTGGGCCGATTGTGCCCAAATTTGGCACATCGCTAGAGACCGGTTAGTAGGGTGCCATGCACAAGTCAGTTAGAGGTACCCCCTCGCAATTTCGCGCGTGCAAGGCCCACCCTCTCGCTCGCTCCGTTAGTCGCCCCAAAAGGCGTTATACTGGTATATAGCTGTTTTATAGTCGTATAATTACTTTATTCTAAGCATTTGGTTTCGCAGGAAACATTTGAGCATGATGTTCTGCCATGGAATGTTTTATACTTACACATCGCTCATTTTAATTAGCAAAACATTTAAATTTAGCCGTCCTATAGCTCAGTTGGAAGAGCATTGGACTCCCAGTAGTGAGAGCCCGGGTTCGAGACGCTCCGGCGCTCGATATTTGAGACTCCTGACGGGGATGGTCTGCGGTTGGTGGGAGCAGCCGCGGCCAGTTGAAGTCAATCGAGTGGGACAGGCCGTGTCCGGCTTTGAAGGGCACGTTAAACTTTGGCATCTAAATTCTCCCGTTACCCGGAATTGCGTGATTGGACGGTAGGGGTCGGGGTTTACGCAACAAGCTCTGCTTATAGCGTGAGCTCCGGCTCTGTCAATCCGTCCATTCAAACATTCGAGCTAAATTTATGTAAAAAAGTTGTATGTTCTTCACATAACTTTGAAGGATCCACAGCGTCTTCTGTGGATCCTTCAATCTTATAAATCTCAATCTTAATAACGCCGTGGAATGGATATGGCAACACTGGCTGAAGTTCAGCTGCAGAAAACGACTATCAAATGCAAAATGGTTTTCACGCATTTCAGTGCAGCGTAATTTGACGGTCTAAAGAATCATTTCGTTGACTCAGATAAACCTTTGTCAGCACTGGTATCACTGTGAATGTTACCAAATGCCGTAAATAGAATAGTACGGCATTTTATAAGATTAGGCCCTGGGGCCCATCTTATCCATTTCCTATCGATGGACGCCATATTTTCAACAGTCACACTATTAGTCGAACTGCTAAGGTGTTGCGTAGGCTTACAAACTCTATTGTTGCATATGCAGCTTATGTGACATATTATAGTGCATGTATGGCCTAAACTTTTGAATTCATTTTAAAATATCACAATCGCACTCTTAGACCCATGACTAAGCAATAAATGCGAAACGTTGGGTAATTTCTTGCGTTTTCCCCTTTTAAAATGAATTCAAAAGTTTAGGCCATAAATGCACTATAATATGTCACATCTGTCAACTGATAATCCTCAATATGTAGCTTAGCTGGTGTATGGACCCGTTTACAGCGTGAGAGCCAGATATTTTTTTTTTTAAATTTCTGCCAAATACTTGAGTAGATTCATTACGGCTGTAGCAACTCACTCTCGTTTCAAATGACGAGTAAAGCATTCTTATATCTATGCAGGTGACCGAAGGTTTGTGTTTTTAATAGCTAAAAACGCCATTCGTTGGAATTGTATTTTTTCTGTTGAAAAAGTCTGAGTTATCGGACATTTTAACAAAAGTACGTCCCTTTGATATAATAGGTGGTTATTCACTTTTACATCACCAAGATGCCATACGAATGACTTGCTCGCTTCATTTCGTTACTGCAGTTGTATAATGTATATTTCATCGAATTGGTCTGTCTGCCCCTATCCGCAGCCCCTGCCGCTGACTCCAACCTCGCGCAGACTCAGAGGCCGCGCCACGGGGAGCGAGAGAGGGAGTGGCACGCAGGGAGGGGTGCAGACTGCAGGGCATGAACCGATGGGGAGGGCTGGGCTGGTCAGTCGGGGGCGGGGGAGGGGGAGCGAGGGTGTCAGGTGGGGCGGCGCGGTGCAGAGCAGCGACCGGCCTGTCCCCGTGAGCCCCGCTTATACCCCGCGGCACCCCACTGGACCCGTTGGGATGGCCGCCGGCACAGCCCACATTCCTGCCGCAGCATGATCCATTGCAGGACAATTCATGTTGACAGTCAGCAGTCAGCACAGATGAGCTGCTGCTTGGAAAAGAATCGCATCACTTGTTAATGAAAAGTTTTAACACTGAGTTTTGTTTTGAAATATGTGCTCAAAGTATTCATACATACATTATTAAAGTTTCCCGTAGTTACACGGTAGTCGGTATGAAAAGGGCTCCGTTGCTCAATCGCATGCACGTGACATTCGAGCAGGCCCAATCATCCAATCCATTTTCCCTTTGCACAACTTTGTTTTAGACGTCTTTGGATCTGGGGAATTCTCACCTGTCGGCCATCTAATCCACTCACTTTATGTCTCGATGACTGGATCTCTGTCAGAAGCTCTGACGTTTTTGTGGACGTAATATTATACGGTAATAAAGGCAAATAAAAATGATCCGTGGAAAATTTAATGGCGTCATTAAACGGAACGACCAATGACAATAAACAGTAAGCTAATTTACATTTTGTGGTGCCAAAGTGATGTGGACGATATGATTTCGCTGTCCTCTGACACCGTGTATCGTGGAGGTAAATGACTGATTAGTAACGCTACAGTGGTTAATACTGGGTGTGGTCAGCCGGACTGATAGTGACCCTGCCCCACCTGTCTGGCCCGGTGGGCTGGGGGAGGAGGGGTGGGGTGTCATCCCTGAGTGGGTGCTTTGATCACCGCGTGCACATGGGACCGGGCCAGACAGGGAGGTACTTAGTGGCCACCTGCCGATGTCATCAGACCGGACTGCAGCTGTGACCAGTGACCTGATCAGACCACCTGTGGCTCTCATCAGACCAGACTAGATACCCGCCGCTCTCATCAGACCAGACCAGACTGTCACTGTCATCAGACCAGACACCTGCCGCTCTCATCAGACCAAGCCAGACTGGCTTTGGGACCAGACCAGACACCTGCAGCTGTTACCCCACCAGACACCTCCGGCTCTCATCAGACCAAGCCAGACTGGCTTTGGGACCAGACCAGACACATGTCGCTCTCATCAGACCAGACCAGCTGCATTCGGGATCAGAAGCCATGCCACCTGCCGCTCTCATCAGACCGGACCAGACCTGACTGTCACCCTCACTACTGATCTGGCCAGCGACCAGGTCACCCGCCGCTGTCATTAGACCAGACCAGACCGCAGCTGTAACCAGACCAGACCAGCTGCCGCTGTCATTAGACCAGACCAGACCGCAGCTGTAACCAGACCAGACCAGCTGCGATGGAGGCTAAATTCGACCAAATAATCCGTTACTGTGACCAGTGAATTGACTGTTGACCACTGACCAGGTCACTTGCCGGCGTTAGCCAGGCCGGACCAGACTAGATCTGCATCTGGCGCCAGAACAGACCAGTTCGCCTACCGGTGCAGCCAGACCACATACGATCGACAAGACCAAGTTACAAAATTAGACAAGATCGGTCGACATTGGACTGATCCATCGGTTAGTTGACGTCAGACCAGACCAGCCCAGATTAGACCGCGAGCGACGATGAGAGATGGCCATACCAGATCAGAGCACACATCTTGACTGTCACGATGAAGTTGAATTTAAAAACCTAGCTTCATCATGATTTTCTCATCATCGAATTTTATTAGAGGTGCCTATGTGTTAGCTCTTATTCCACTTTCATTTCTATCCGGATGTCTATCTGCTTTCAAACCTATTGCTAGCTTGTTGAAGTAAAAATGTCGCTTTTTGAGCGAAAACTTGCATCCTGCCAAAACATATTATGTTTATTATTTCAAAATATCGGGCAGCACATGACCGCAGCACCGAGATGGAAAGTAGGTACTTTTATCACAAACATTTGATGTTATTACTTGTGCTCCAAATTCAGTGACAGACCGTGTACGTTTTGCAGAAAATTTTGAAACATGTCATCTTACAATGGCCATCTCATCTAACATCGCAACAATGGCCAGAGGATAAAGTGACTTCACCGGAGGGTGGGGTGGCTTGTTATTATATAGGGAATACGATCGTCCAGCTTCTGCACAAATATAACATCAGCCTAAATTATGAAATTAGGTATAATGCTTTGTTGAAAATTTAGATCCCTACCATGGCTAAAGGGGAAAAGGTATTTGACCAGTTAAATACGGTAAAAAATACGGTAGTGTCTTCGAAAATGCTGCATAGCTGTAACAGCCGGCTCACCCTGCAGGGCCTGGGAGGACAGTAACGCCGTGGCAGCCGCAGGTGACGAGAAGGGAGAGTAATCGAGGTGCTTAGTTTTTTTTTAATTTTGGCAAGTCAGCATATTGCATGTATGCCTTTGTTTTGTACCTACTGCTTAACCCTATTAGTGGCAGGGGGGGTTGTTTTTATCCACCCCTCAGGTTTTTCGGGAATATCTCCGAAACCGCTGAAGCTACGATGCTGAAATTTTCTGACTTTTCCTAAAACTAAATTGGGCACATTCCCTGAAAATTTCAAGTTCATAACTTTACCAGGGGCGGCTCCAGAGCACTGGGAATTGGGGGTCCTATTCGTGAAGCGAGTCATTTGGGCGAAGATCACGATGCTGCACCAGTTTTACGAACAGTGAATGAAAGGTATCATGTAATAACATATACAAAGTTATTGTGCATCCTCTTTTGACACGTTTTTGCTATAATAGGCGGATCCAGGCGTCCAAAAAGGGGGGTTATTTTTTACCTCCCAACATAGGTGCCCTGACACCGCCTATGCATGACCAATACAATTTTAGTCGTTCTCTCATAAGAAAATTGTAACATAACAAGACCATTGCCACCCTTTTTAGAAACAGTACCACAAAAACCTTATTTACTATACTTTTTGTGTACCCCCAATCTCAATGATCTGTATCCGCCTATGATTTTTGAAAATGCATATTTTTAGGATCCATGTGAATTCCTGGTTCATTCTCTATCGATCGGCAAAAGTTGCGTTAAGATTGGTTCAGAAACCTGGCCGTGATAAACAGTCTAAAATGTATCTGCAATTTGCCCGTTTTTACCCCCCTCTACCCCCTATTGACATTTTTATTTTATAGAAATGTAGATCTCGTTGAGCCAAATCGAATGCCGTTTGAATTTTGAAAATCGGCCGGTTAGATCTCGAGATATCAAGGGGGGGTCGTAAACAGCCCCCCCCCCCCCTGCCACTAATATGGGGTAGCCAGGAGCCTGCCACTAATAGGGTTAAATCGCACGATAGGGAAGCTTGAAGTCTAAGTTTCTACCATTCCATAGAACGCCGCACTTTTAGGTAAGTCTTCTCCCAAAATGAAATATACCTAAGATCTATCCCAAAAATGAAATATCACGATAGACTACAACGCCCATCGTGTAGACGATACGGTATACGGTTTGAAATGAAAATATAGTATCAGAAATGAGGAGACACCTTTGGGGGGGGGGGGGTATATTTTCCCCTACGCCATTAGGATCCCCTGTACCTCGGGGTCCGGCGTGTGTGACCTCGGATATGAGCTGAGCCGTCGGCGGGCAGAGGGACCGGAAGCGACTGCTGACGCTCCCCTCCTCTCCCCTCCCCGGCTGCAGCGGCGTGGCCTCCCCTCCCGGCACTGCTGGGTGGGCCGACTATTCGGTACTTTGTCCGGCAGTGAGCACCATTTACTCACTAACCGATGGGGCCGGCGCCATTACTGTCTACCAGGGTCAGGAAACACGTAAATCATAACTGGGAACACGTAAATATGAACAGGAAGCACGTACGGCTCTCGTGAAATTAGGCGGTAGGTTTTGCACTTTTACATTTCCGGCTATATCTCAGAAACTAATCGATCTACGATGAAGCCATTTTACACGATCATGGCCGGCTTGTTACCCAACAAGTCGATCGCATCTTCAACACTTAAAAGCTTAAGACGACTATAGCCTGAAGTACACTAAATTTTCTAGGTGCAAAACCTACCGCTAAAACCCGCGAGACCTGTAGGTATATACAGCCCACCGCTAAAGTAATGTAGGGTTTTACCAATCTCAACGGTTGGCTTTGACTGGCGATTGTTTAATGCGGAGTGATCGAAAAGAAGATGTCAATAGCTAAAGTTGCAGCTGCAAGGGTGACAATACATATAAGCTACATTCAAAGTTTCATTGTAGTCTGGCTAATCGTTCCTAAGCTTCAGAAGCAGAACATACCCATGACTGAAACCCACATTACTTCTGCTGTGGACTGTACCTCTGAGCTGGAAACACGTAAGTCTGAGCTGGGATCTGAATCTGAACTGACCACGCTGAGATATTTGGTTAATCGGCTGCATGAGGCATTGAGGCAGTATCGCGAGTGTCGACGGGGCAGGAATTGGTCACGTCACACTGCCATGGGAACACCAAACAGCTGAGAGTATTCGCCCTTGCTAAATGCTGCTATATGTAATGGAGCCCTATCGAAAAGTAGTGTATGATTAAGAATGCATATTGCATGATGCAGTAATGCGGCGATAACACTAACACTCAGCACATGCAAAATAAATGCTGGATAATGCAAAGGGTGAGCTGTAGCGCATACCATGCCAAAAGCTCATATAGACTTAATTTAATCGGCTTTTTCTGCACGCATAAATTGCATAACTACCTATGTTGTGACTAAAAATGGGGAGTGTGTCTGGCTGGAGGACAGGGTGAGAAGAAAATGCAGAATGCAGTTGCTGAAAGGTGCGAGCTTTTTATTAGAATATGCCTCACTTACTCGGTGATAATCAATGTAAATTGTAATGAATGGTATCAGGCAGATAGAATTAATAGAATAATAAATATAGAATGATCTATTTTACATATTAAGCTCTATACAGATCTATTTAGCTAGAGAATGAATAAGGCAGGCAGCACAATAAACATTTTATTTTGTTGTATTTGGCTCTTGTGACTGGTTGGTCTCAATAAGATCACAGACGTATCGATTGGTGTTTCATAAATGCTGGGATATCCTGTTAATTTTATACAATCGTCTTCCATCTCAAATAACCATTGCCTGGAGTTTGTTTTTCTATAAACATAAGCATAGACATATAGATCGGACATGGCTTGGTTGGCTTCCCCTATAACCTACAGATTTCGCGATGTGAGCGGAGGTGCTAAACTGTGTGTCACACTGACTGACATCGTCCCGTCATTTCGTCCTCGGTAATAGCGGCAGAGACTAAAAACTGCCACGGTAACACGGTGAAAACTGCCGTTCAAGTCATGATTACGTATGCAGCAACACGTTGGGGTAGGTCAAATAGTTGCCCTCATGCTTATCATCACCAGGCGATGAGATTTATACAACGGGTGATCCTCATGCCATAGCGGCGTTCCAATTTTTTTTTACCGCATTTTACGTCATAAGACAAACTGAAATGATCTGCGAGCATGCTAAAATGCATGCCAGAATGCATGATCAGAGATATAGACATGCTAGAGAGTGCCGTGGTTATACATACTCGTATTACCTTGAGTTGAAAGCAAATATACCGGAAGCAAGATCAAACCCCTGATTAGTAGCGGATGCTTTTTTCAATAGTGAATTTTGCATGCCTTTCATCGTGGCTAAATAGCACACCATAGGTGTCTGATGTAATTAATTGGCCTTGTCGCACTGTGCTTACCGTGATTCACTGTTTGCCCATTGTTCGGCCTATTGAGCGAAATGGGTCATCCACCACTATGCACGGGGGATTTAGCTCACCGCGGTATTCCGAACAGGGCTAGGTGGAAAGAAATTAGTTTGAAAAAATAAAGCCCAAAATTGTGGAAAAGAATAGTTGGGTATAGGTAAGTGTTAAGGAAAGCGAGGCCTAGGAAAAGGTGTAGGCATTATAAGATAATAAAAAGATAAAAGATAGAATGTTTCATGCCACTATGAAAAAAAAAATGTTTGTGTCTTTAAAGGGGAAAATATGGTGCCAAGGTGTGAGATACGTGTCATGAAAGTCCTACATGAAAAAGATGAATTCAGTTATCTCAATGTGGCAACGCGCTAAGTTGTTTCCCTTTGGTGTCCGTTTCAGCCTGGTTTCCAGTCCACCGGCGCTGTCTACTGGTTCACTGGACGCTCGTCTGTCTGCTGGTGTGGCTCGCTCCCTATCTGGTCGCTGCTCAGAGGTCAGACCATGACACCGCCCTTCTGGACCCGCTGCCCGCGCCCGTGTCGGCTCGGATGGTTCGAGCTCGACCGGTGCAGGGCGGTAACAGCCTGCAGAGCACCGCCGAACCCGGAGGTGCAGGGGTGGGGGAGCGAGCCGTGGAGAACCCACTGGAGGACCCCCTGCAGCAGCTGAACCTGGAGGAAGGCTCCGGTGGCGGCGAGCAGGACACCGAGGAGGTGGTGGTGAGTGAACGAGTCGTGGAGTCGCAGGACTATGGACGGGCCGTGACTCGTGAGGAGTGAGAACTAACGACAGTAAGGACAGGCCGTGAGGACTAACGACAGTAAGGACCAGGTCGTGAGGACTAACGACATTAACCCTCGCCCTGGCAGGGGGTCGATGCGACCCCCCCTAAGGTTTTTCGAAGATAGCGTAAAAACGGCGGCGCGCAGCGCCGCCAAATTTGGCACAGCCTATGGGGCAACCTTTTTACATATGACCTGAAAATTTCAGGTCCGGGTGACCTTGGGTCACGTCACCAGGTCAAAAAAAAAACGGTACAAGGTCATGGTCAAATGTCAATTTTTTTTTGCACCTGTCCAACTCACAGTTTTCGACTGATTTCCTTCAAGTTTTCAGGATGTGCTAAGTTCACCGAGTTGTATAACATATAGTCCGGCTTTTTTAAGGTCACTGACCTGAGGTCAGTTAGAGGTCATTACGTCGTAATGTTAAGCCTATGGGAAAATACTAAATTCGGAAAATACTGGAGATATCCGCTTCGTTCTATCACTTTTGTGCTTTGAAACCACGGTACTTAACAGCAGGTCACTTGGTGCTTCTTTGTTTGGTGTACTTATCCATGGGTCAGGTCAAATGAGGTCAACTGAGGTCAAATGACGTTTTTGCCAATAACTTGGCACATAATGACGCTAGAGCTTAAAAAATGGTATCATTGTGTTCCTGGTGATCAGCCGAATCGAATGATATGCGATATGATGCAATTTGGTTAACTTGAACTTAATTTATTAATTTAAGTTTACTTAAAATTTAAGAAAAACTTTAAGTACACTTAAGCAAGTCAAAAAGTATATCATTCGACGCGCCTTGACGTGCTGAGTTCACTGGTGCTTTTCTTTTTGCTCTATCTTAATTAGATCAAAAGTTATAAGCGAAAAACTTTTGACCTGTTTTTAGCGAAATTTTTACATTTATACCCCCCAAAACCCCCCTAAATATTGACCTAGAGCAACCAAATTTGCACAGGGGAGAGAACTCCAGGGGGCCCACCTACCTACCAAATTTGGTGTTTCTAGGTGCCATAGGAGCCAATCGCGAGGGGGGGGGTCGCATCGACCCCCCCCCCTGCCAGGCCGTGTTATGAAAAATGCCCTGCCAGGGCGAGGGTTAAGGACTGACATGAGAACTGACGACAGTTAGGACGGGCCGTGAGGACTGACGACATTAAGGACTGTCGTGAGGACTGACGACTTAGGACGGGACATGAGGGCTGATGGCGGCGTATATGTTGGGGGAAACCTTAGACAAATGACGATAAGTTGGGACTTTTGAGGACTGACGATGGCAGATGGAACGGGCCGTGACTCGTTAGGACTTGAGGCTTTGTCTGATTGTGGTGAGTCTCTCGGGTGGGGCGAGGACTGATGAGGGGACCGGCAGCGACCCTGAGCTGCAATTACAGACGCTGGCGCGGGAACCGAGGTGAAGGAAAAATGATGCCAGCTATCGTGCGGTAATACCAGAAATGTAAGAAAAATATATCAGGTGATATGCGAGCTGGGAGTATTTTATGCTTCATATACAGGAGAACAAATTGATAAAGGTGTGTTGCACAATGCACAGCATGTATGCATAGTGTATACCATTGCATGTTTTTAGTTGCTCAGTCAGTAAATGCTTCGTCTTCATCGTATGCATTCTACTTGTTTATAAATTTAGAAAGTCGTTATTATTGGTAGATTTACTTATTCCTGAGGTAAAAATATTTACTCAGGCAGTTATGCACGCTCAGGCCTCATACCGACCGATAAAAGAAAACTGCGTCAATGTCAGAATTTATAACCGAAGTTCGTTAAACCTGTCTCCATGACCGGGCACGCCCAACTGTGCCGAGCCCGGTTCACCGCACAACTGTAGCGAGCCTCGCTACCCCTGGGACTCCAAACCGTTTCAGCTTGGGCCCGTAAACGTTAGATGCAGATCAACATTAGGGTGGCACAAAATGCACGACATTCAAACTAGTCACTCCCTCGCTATGCAAAAACGCTAATGGGCGATGAGAAACAGTTCATCGTTATTCCTGAGTGGCGACGAACAATAGGCGATTCACTGCTAATGACTTACTAACGCATCACAATCACAAATATATAAATCATCGTGCGATATGCGTACCTATTGCGTGCAATTGCGGATAGCTCCTTGACATCTATGTGATTTTATGCTGTTCAGTGTTCATATCCATGTTTTTTATGTAATTTGATGAGTGTTTTATAACTCGTCATTAGCTTTTGTATTTCAATTTTAATATGAGCGGTTTGTGATTCGTCTTAAAAACGATCACATGTCTAACACATTCTTCTGCTCTTTTTCAGAGTCAACAATTTGAAGGACCTCGACGAGAACCAGGCACGTATGGTGACGATGTGTGACTCAGCATGGTTACAGTTTCACAATCATGGTTATAATAGCGTAGAAGTAGCGAAGAGCGCTGGCTCTACACTGGTTTGTGGGCCGTCTGATAGTACGCTGATGAGCGTGTTTGTGTCCGCTGACGTGTGTCCGCTGACGTGTGTCCGCTGACGTGTGTCCGCTGACGTGTGTCCGCTGAAGTGTGTCCGATGTGTGTCCGTTGACTTGTTTCCGCCGACGATTAGATAACGTGCGCTTTGGTCTTTGGTGAGAATCGCAACAGACAGTTCAAGGCAAAGGGAGGAAGGGACTTCGTATACGTCAGTAGGAAACTGTTAAATCCTCTCCAATATACGAAAACCCACGACCAGACGTTAACGTTAATGCTTCGGATGAGTGATGTTTAGCCAAATCACACTCAATTTAACCTTTGTCTTTACCAACAGGAGTGTTGGAGTGCGATTTCGGTTCGGGCGACCGGGGCGTGTCGCTGTGTGATTACTCCAACTCCAACATCACCGTGCTCCGGTGGCAGGCCTCCACGGGAAGGTCGAGCAACTGGCTGGGCGGACCTCCAACAGACGCCACCGGCTCGCAGGACGGTGAGGGGGAAACAGAGGCAGAGCGGAAGAAAGAACTATCGATGAATCCCATTGCACATGATTATGATTGCAACGATTTATTGAGTCAATCATTTTATTTGGGTGCACCGTGCATGCAATAGTTGTGCTATGCAATGATTGCATTCGTCAAGGGATGATGCACGTAAGAAATTTTACAAGACAAGCCAAGGCATCACTTTTTTAACAATTGACCAATATGGCAATTGTCTTTCTTTATTTTATACTCGGCATCGTGTCAATGGAAATATTTCAGAACGTAAGCAACATTATGCATGTTGCTTACCAGCACAATCACTAAACGTGTAGATATCGGACCTTGCTTTAACGTGTTCGACATTTGTCACTTATCGTTTCAGGTGGTTACGTGTTTTTCGAGACGTCTGAGCTTCCGGACGATGACGTGTTGCGAGTGAACAGCGAATCGGCTATGCTGGAGAGTGGCCTGCAGCCGCGAACCCCGCCCGCCGGCCAGTGTGTCCAGTGAGTCATCAGCAGCCGCGGGCGGCCTCCCCCCCCCCCCCCCCTCCCGCGGAAACTTCGCGAGGGGTTCCCCGGAGACCGCAGAACAAATAAAGCCTGCTCGACGCCGCACTGCATCCTCCCGGGACGTTTCAAATTATATAACACAATTTGGCATTTGCAGCACCCCGACGCCATGAGCTGTGAGGTGAAGAGGCCAATATCACAGCCGAGGAGGACAGTTGTCAGCTCAGTTACCTTATTGCTATAACATTATCTTGCAGCGCACTTCGACATGTGCATGAGCTATAGGAGTCATGAATGCACTTCCACTGACAACTTGCTAAGATATGCTGATATCTGCTATCTGCCCGCTGCCATTGGTTGTGTCTAATCCAGCCTCTCTGTTTGCAAACTTGATTGTCTATCGTAAGCTACTTGTAAGCGTCTGATTGATGCCACGTATAGGTATGGTATGGCACATCGAAGACGCCTCTAGAACAAAATTATGTCGGCTAGCATTGGAATGGACGCAATGGAGCACTTCAATTTGTATTACATACTCGTAAAACTCTTCCTAAGTCAATCTTCCTTCGTAGGTCAACTTGTTGGATTGCATTGTGCCAATGTGCATATGACACCTAACTTTTGGGAGCTGTTCAAGGCATGAACAGTGCACGGTGCTTTTTATATTCAGCAGGTGCCTTGTTTACTTTCATTGACGATTTTCCATGGTTCATGTTTACCCGTTAGTGGTAGGGAAATGTCAACCGGCCTGGTCTGCCCTAGGTGCTATATCGACCGCCGGTCCCTACGCTGTTGAAAAGCACCGCTATGTGGTGTGGTGTAGTGTTTATGTATAGTCGACTACAGAATGATGTTCCACTCCTCAGAAGCTATCAGTTGACCGGAGCGCTAAGTTGTGCCGTTTATCACGCAATTAAGCGTGTCGATTGTGAGCATTGGTACACTCGGGGGCAGATTGATGTTCCACCACTCCCTACCTATCTCGGGCTCCCATGGCTCAGCACTGGCTGCTGCCAGTGGCAGCACAGGCAGCACTGGCACTGGCAGGCAGTGCTGACCCGTGCTGAGGGCAGGCAACACTGGCAGCAGCCACTGCTGATCCATGGGAGCCCGATTGGGTAGGGAGTGGTGGAACATCAATCTGCCCCCGAGTGTACAAAGCTATAATTTGTGAACTCAGCCCGTGTGATGCGGCACAGCCTACCACTCCAGGCAAGTAATTGCCTGTGAAAAGTGGAACATCATTCTGTAGTCGACTATACCCTGCCTACCCGCCAGGTTCGCCTACCACCGCGAGGGGCTGAGCGCCGGTGAGCTGCGCGTCCTACTGCACCCGGTGAGTGACGCCGAGCTGCTCGGGTACCCGGCGGATCACAGCGGGGACACGGTGCTGGCTCACAGCTCCGCTGACGTGGCCGGCGCCTGGAGCTCGGCTGAGATGATCTACACCTACCCCGGTAGACACACGGTGAGAAGGGGAAAACGCTGAGAGCGGTGACTGAACACAATTGGTGCAATGATGACCGTAAATTTTCACTTTCGCTCATTAGGCGTTTACATGAGCGAAAGTGTAATGTAAATGCTCTCCGTCAATGACGGGATCGTATTTAAAATTTCGCTTTTGACTGTTGAAAGTGCAAGCTATTTCTAACTCATGCGAATAAAATATCGTCGTTTAGGAAACGAATGCAAAATCAGGCTACAAGGGGTTGAATTGTGGCAGCGATGACGTCTTCTATCTCCCGCGGGCAGATTGTGTTCGAGGCGATCCCGTGCCGGTCGCGTCGTGTTGGCTCGTGTAGTCCCGACTACCGCGGCCACATCGCCGTCGACTCGGTACGTCTGGCCCCGGACGGGTGTCTGGGACACTGCACCTTCGACGGCGGCGCGTGCGGCTGGACCCAGGACGACAGCGACGACTTTCAGTGGGGGCTGAGCCGCGGCAGCCTCAGCCGCGACACCGGCCCGAGGGCGGTGAGTCAGTGGGGCCAGATAGGTGAATCGATGCGGAGTGGGGACAGATGGTCTGGTAAGACAGAAGAGGAGTAATAGGCGAGTCACGATGGACACAGGGTGGTGAGTTTGTCGGAATAGTGGGTCCCGAGCGGTGTTCAGTGGGGATAATGGCCCGAGGAGGCGAGGGCTTTGGTTTGTACTTTGTACCTTCAAGATTACCGGCGCTGTTACTGGTCAACGTCATTACTTTGATCAGCAGTACTGTCTCAATTTTCCGGTAAACTTTCCCTCAAGACACGACCTCCAACTCCCGTCCCTGCGGCTCCGGTCTGTGAATACCGCTGGGCCACTCCCGCCACGGCGGACCACTGAACCCCTGACCCCACACACCCTATCCGTGTCACCAACAGGACCACGGCAGCGAGCTGTTCGGCAGCACCTCAGGCGGCTACATGTTCGCCAGCTCGGCGTTCCCGCGCCGGCCGGGCGACCGGGCGCGCCTGCTGAGCCCCCAGCTGTCCGCCGGCCAGCCGCGCTGTTTCCGTTTCTGGCTGTACCTGTTCGGCCCGGGCGTGGGCACGCTGCGCGTCCTGCTGCTGGCTGGCGACCGGCGGCAGGAGCTGTGGCGGCTCTCCGGGCCGGCTGGTCAGCAGTGGCACCAGGGACTGGTCACTGTCTCGGCAGAGGCCGGCACCTTCAGGGTGAGCAGAGGCGGAGAGGAAGGGAGGCAGCGTGGGGCGACGTGGGTCGATGGGCAGTACGGGGGTAGGAGGAGAGAGATGTTTGATTAAACTTATCACTGGGTTGTCTTGGTGGAGGAGGTCGGGATGCCTGTTATGACACTGAAGGCTGCGACATCCTTTTGACCTGTTCTGCTGTGTGACACCCCGCTGACCTGCCATGACCTGCGACCCGCTGACTTGCCCTGACTTGTGGCCCGCTGAATTGCGATACGTGACTCGTGACACCTGACTGACCTCTAACATTTGACTGACATCATCTGACCTGTGACCCTCGCTGACCTGCTCTGAGCTGTAACTGCCCGCTGACCTGCCCTGACCTGTGACCCCTGACCTTCCCCGATAAGTGACCCGATACCATGACCTATGACCCTTCGACTGACCGGCCCTGACCTGTGACCCTCCGGCTGACCTATCCCGACCTGTGACCCTCCGGCTGACCCGCACTGACCTGCGTCTCAGCTGGCGCTGGAGGCGGAGCTGGGCACGGAGCGGCTCGGCGACATCGCCGTCGATGACGTCTCGCTGGAGAGCGGCATTTGTCCGGCGGCCCCGCAGACGGCCGCGCCCTGGTCTTCGGGCTGCACGTTCGAGGTGAGTGGTCTCCAGCGAGTGGCCACTGGGCCCTGAGTCGCCCTGAGCGGGTCGGACAGTTACAAGTACTGCAGCTGACTCGCAGCTGTGTGACCGGCCGAACAGCTCAGATGCGTTGCCTCACCAGCACGAGTGGCATATCCAAATGCATTCAGCATGTCGATGGTTAATGTGTATGTAAATAGGTGCAATATGCTGACAATTTTATTTGCGTATCTTAAAGAACAATCATTTACAATTTCTGTCACACCTTATCAGCATATATGTATATTCACATGATTCGCACCAAATCAATTCAAAATGTCAATCATTGCGATTAGCGTGCACGCCTCGTACATTAACCCGCGCGGGGCTGGGGTCTCCAGCCGAACGCGCGGGGCTGGGGGGGGGGGTAAATTTTACCCCCCCTGTTATCTCCCGAACTAATGGTCCGATCTGGAAAATTCAAACGCCAATCGAAAGATCTCATCACGAACAACTAAAAACATGTACTTAATTTTAAGTTTGAGGTCAAGGTCAAGGTCAGGTCAAGGGTACAAATTGCAAGTTCCTACAGTATCGGCCTTGCACCGTAGTTGCCGAAGAATGGAGTCATGGACTGAGACTGATCGCCCAAAACGTGTTCTTAGGCCACCAAGACAATATTCGTTGCATACAATATCATTCAGAGGTCAAGGTCAAGGTCAGGTCAGGTCAGGTCAGGTCAGGTCAGGTCACCAAAAACAAAATATAGAAAAGGGCATGTGCGACACATGTTTTATGGGTCATTTTACTCATAGAATTCAATAGGCACACTCAATAAGTGATATGGACCACCTCTGGATGAATTTCAGGTCGAGGTCAGGTCAAGGTCAGGTCAAGTGAGGTCAAATTTTGAAGTTGGTTATTAAGGCCTAAAAAGGTGTCTATCTGATGCAGTTTTTCACGGCGAATCGAATGGTGCTACTTTTGTTTCCGTACGAGGTCTAGAACTTCCAAAAAAGTCATTTTTAAATTTTTGTGTGTCGTGACGTCATACAATTTTGAATAACTCCCACATTTTTGAACCGATTCTTGTAAAACTTGGTATGTAGGTGCACATAGACCACTTCTCTGACATATATTCCGGTTTTTTCGATACACTCAAAGTTTTGGATTTTATAGCTATTTTCCCAAAAAAATCAGTTTTTTGAAAAAATTTGGGCCAAAATCCAAAATTTTCGAAACACCGAGATAGCCATTTGATAGACAAAGTAAAATTACGTATATCCTTTTTTGTTACGTCTTGATTCCTTTAAAAATGAAGATGTTAGCGGCGTTTGAACTTTTGCCGTTTTTTGAGGCGAAAATGGCGAACATGACGTCACTAAAACGTCAATTTCTCAAAAATTTTCCGACGGATTTCGCTCAAATTTTCAGGGAACGTGTCAAATTGATGTAAGAAAAGGTACTGAAAGTTTGGCGGCGCTGCGCGCCGCCGTTTTTGAGATATTGCAAAAATTCGCGAGGGGGGGTAAAATTTACCCCCCCAGCCCCGCGCGGGTTAATATGCACAACAGAGCAGACTTACAACCATATTTAACCATCACTTTCTCCATATCCGTCCGTTTACCGTGCTAATTTCGCCCTCGCATTCCGATTGTAGCGGCGGCCCCACAGTATTTCACAGCATACGACGTCCCTAATTTATGTTCAGGTGGACACGTGCGGTTGGGCCGGTGTCGAGGGCGACCGCGGCCTCTGGGAGCGGGTGGTGGCCGCGGCCACGGACGGCGTCCCAGCCACCGACCACACGACCGGCCGGCCCGGCGGCGGCCTGGTGCGTCTGGGGCCGGCCGACCCGCCGCCGCCCGGCCACATGGCGCGCCTCCTCTCCCCGCGGCTCGACCGGCCCGACGGCGCCGCCACCGACGCGTGCCTTACGTTCAGGTGGGTCCGCTGACGTCAGATCCATCTGACGTTCAAGCGAGTTGGCCGCCGTGAAACACATCTCACGTTCATTGAAGTTCACCCGAAGCTTTTAAAAATTCGAATATCCTTCTATTATAGCAGTCTTGGCTTTCGGCTCCCTAACGGTTAGTTTGTTTCACAAGAATACGAAAATGCTTTTACCCGTCATGCAGGCACCAGCGTGCTTATTTGCAAAAGACATTTCTATTAAAGATGCTGATTATAGTCGCGCTGCGCACATGCACAATTTCAACACAACGATTTCCAACTCTAGGTAGGTATATCGACATCACTCGTTTTTTCTATCAGCAGCTAAATGGTAACAATGACAGCCAAATACAATGGTACTAAATACAAATACAAATACCAAATACCTAGATGAAGTGTCACTTGTGAACTATATCCGGAAATTACCTCTAAGATTGGTCAACAACTAAAGGCCGCCGTCCACTGGTAGAGTACGCGCTGGGGCGGTTCAGCGCCGGAAGCGCGATGAATCGCAGGCAGCTGATTCTTCGGTGGCTGTTGGGCGCCGAATCACGCGCTGACGACTGAAGATTACTTTACGGCTCCTGACGACTTGAAATACTTCAACTTTTCAACGCGTTCTGGGTACTGGACAATAACGCGCAAAATGCGCGCATAACCATTGAATGGCGGAGAAAATCATTCAATTTATTCGAAGCAAATACGTCAAACGAAGCTCATTGACAATTTTAAGCATGCGAATCACAAGTAATTTTTGATCAAGCACAACATCACTTCTTAAATAGTCCCCAAGCTACTTCCCGAACGCAGTTTTGGAGCCGACCTAGGGATATGCAGAAGGTAGGCATGCAAGCAGGACGGCTCGGTGGTGGCTGTCACCAGCTAGGTACTGCGCAGCGCCCGTGGACTCCGTCTGATCGACGCTCCTCGGGGCTGGTGAGTCCGCGGTCGGCGCTCGCGCTGGGCGTGTCACGCTCGGCCCAGTTTCCCTAGACTCCACCTGACTGATGCTCTAGGGGGTTGGTGAGTCGGCGCTCGCTCAAGAGCGTGTCTCGCTCTGCTCAGACGCGTGGGCCGCCTCCTCGGCCTCATCTTTTTCCAGCTTCTTTAGGCACTCAAGCACCTTACTGCGAACTTCATTGACGTCGTAGATGGGAACTAGCTTGATCTGGTTTCCGACGGCCTGCTTCGTGGCCAGAATGGCCTCCAGCTGACTCATAAAACGTTTGGCGAACTCTTCAAACTCCGCTGCTTCGAATTTCGCAGTGGCATCATCGACGGCGTGCGCGGCCGTTCGGATCGGGGTGGCCTCCTCCATTGCCACGCGGTACGTTTTGCCACCCTCTTCAATGCGGTACACCTGAGTTTCTCCGAACTTCCTTCCATGGTCTTCGATGCCTTCCAGCTTCTGTAAACCAAACAAATAAACACATAAACCAGTTAGTTAGAAGTCAGTGAGTGTATGTGTGTACGGCTGGAGTATTTAATGGTGACAGGGTTTAGACCAAGATGTTTAGCTTGTAATCTTCCCACCTGTGCCTCGTTTCATAAAGCGAGTCCGTAACTTACGCCGGTTTTTGGTCTTGCATTGCAAGCGCATGTGAAGCGATGAATTTATTTCCCCTCTCCCTTCTGTTCTTGCTTGCAAAATAAATAAATTCAATGATTCAATCTATCGTCATCGCTTCACATGCACTTGCAATACAAGACCTAAAACCGGCGTAAGTTAACGGACTCGCTTTATGAAACGAGGCCCTGGTTGGTAAACAAAGGACATTCATAGACAAACATTTACCTAATTACATTTTTTGGTAACTCATGTAACCGAAAAGTGGCCGAGGTGAGCGCATGACGATACATTTCAATACCAATAACGTTTGTTGTTCAAGTTGAAGCAGCTTATCTATTCGTAATTAGCAGCCCTCCTTTCTGCAAAGTCCGCTTTGCCCCGCCCCTACCTTGCTGATAGCCTCTAGAAAGGTCATCCGAGGTCATTTGAGGCTACAAACAGATTTTTGCCAATAACTCTCGATTGGAAAGAGATAGAACACTGGGAGTGGGGATGGCTTAAATTGTGTTTGTCTTGTCGAGACGCATCGAATGACATGCAACATGACCTATTTGGGTCACCACGTGACCTTGAGGCTTGACCTGAGGTCAAAATTTGACCTTGACTTTTCCAGGTAAAAAATATATATGTTTCGAAGCGACTGAAGGAGAGAAACACGATAGTGCCATTGCCAATTCTTCATCTTTGCTGGTTCAAAAGTTATTCTTTGCTGGTTCAAAAGTTATTCGTGATAAAACTTTTATCCAAAAACAGCTATTTTCACAATATTTGACCTATGGAGGCTTAACCGTTGACCAGAGGTCAGTTTTGATGATGAACTTATCAAAAGAAGAGTTAAAAAGCTATCGATTGCTTTCCCATGCATTTTTCTAGCTATCATAGTTCCTGAGATAACTGCATGTTTTCTGAAAAAATATAATGACATTTGGCAAATTTTGACCTTTGATGACCTCCAGTAACCCCAATATTGCTCGAAGATGAAAAATGACAAAAAATGGTAACATGTGCCCCCCCCCCCCACCCCCACTAGGACGAAGTTGGCTGAGACCGCCACTGGGGCGCGGGTTAAGATACCAAATTATTGCTTCCAAATGACGTCATATATGAACAGCGAATGCCCCGCAAATATAAAAAGTAAGAGCCTTATATAAAACAAAACGGTTCATATTTTTCGGTGAACTTTGGTCGATATTTATTTTTAATCTAACTGAACCACGAGACATCACTTTCATGCCAATTCATGAACTTTTGAAGGAGGAAGGAGGATCCCTTTAACAGGTTGTCTTGGAACGCAGAGGCATAGACGGCGGAACGGGGAGGACACCCGGGCACCGTGCCCCCCTTTGATTTTGGCATTTTAACATTAGCCCTATGGGCGTTGCATGGAAAGAATGGGACCAAAAGTCGGCAGTGCCCCCCCCTTAATTGAAGGTGTTCCGTCGCTACTGCGCAGAGGCCAGAATTGGATAATGCATTTGCCGATAATGGTATCCGGATCGGAATAAACATTGATCTATAACACGCGCCGGGCGGGGGGAGTGTTCGGACACTCCCTTGCGGATTTTCGCAGATAGGTATCTCAAAAATGGCGTCGCGGGGTGACGCCGTTTTTGGCACACCTGTGCAGTCTACACAACGCACCGGGTAAATTGCTGCCCGAAATTAAGAATTACAAGTTAACCCGCGCCCCACGGGGGGGGGGCTATTCATAGCCCCCCTCCCATTTTTCTGCAATAACTTCTAAACCGCTTGGCATATCGACGCCAAACTTTCAGTACCTTCGGGTGCATCAATTTGACATCTTTTGTCAAAATATGAACTTCGTAGCTACCATAGGTCGGCCGGAAATGACGTCAGAGTGACGTCATGTTCGGCCGAAATCGACGCAAAACATTGAACCACGGGAATCATTCCCAAGAGCTCAGTTTTTAAGCTAGCTCCAATTTCTTTGCATGACAGGACTCAAAATCACGGGCGTAGGAACGTCATGAAAAGTGGGTGGGCCACCCTGTTGAGGGGCCTCCTTTTCCAGGGGGGCCCCCTATTTTCAGGGGCCTCCAACTTTTTCATCGTACTGCTTTCAAGTATGACCTCCAAATCTAGCTTCTGAGATCGGGCAGATGTACCCAGGCCCCAGGGGCCAGGGGCGTAAGTCGTAACCGCTTAACCCTCGCCCGTAAACGGCGATCTGCCACCTTCGCCCATGCAGGGGGGGGGGGGGGTTGGTGCGACCCCCCCCCCTTGGCGTTTGAAAACGGAGCGTCGTAGAGCTTAGCGGAAAAGACCAACGGATTGCTCTCGCCGAGATCTCGCGATTGGTGGTATATTTTTTGGTCCTAGGTCAACATTTGACCTACTTTTGACCGGTCAAAGGTCAAATTTTCGGAAAAATAGACTTTTTCAACTTTCCGCGGCGATTGCGGCAAAACGGTGGGAGATATCGACTTGAAACCTTCACTATCGTGCTCCTTGATCAATTCTCTATCGTTTGGTATGTATTTCGTTTCCCTAGCTCTAAAAATGGCGCGTTGGGAGCGCCGGAAGTCGGCAAGGTCACAGTCGGCGGCAGAAATTCGAAAAATTAAAAATTTAATTTTTTTAAATCTGATTGTATTTTTGGATTTGGGAGGTCCATTTGCTCCCTATAGAAGCTAATATTGCTGCATAATCCCATTGAGGTGACAAGAATTAGCAAAATAGTGGTTCGGGCGCTTTTCAAAAATAGTACCGGACGCTGTTCCTCTTGTGACGTCATAGCTCCGTGACCTGACCTGACCCGGTCAAGTTTCTTATACCATATGATAGCCAATACTTGCCCCAACATGCATGGGAAGTTTCATCACGATCCATCAACCGATGTCCGTACCACCGGCAGGAAACCTCGGGCGTTGGCACTCAGTTTGTGAAAATCCGGCCGGAGGCTGTTCCCTTTGTGACGTCATAACTCCGTGACCTGACATGACCCGGTCAAATTTTTTTTTTATCAAAAGATGCGCAAGGTTTGCCCCATAAGGTACCCAAAATTTGGCGGCGCTGCGCGCCGCCGTTTTTGCACTATTTCCGAAAAGCCTCGGGGGGGGGGGGGGTTGCACCAACCCCCCCCCCCCCTACATGGGCGAGGGTTAAGCGAACAGCGCGGGAAGTCCGCACTATTCTTAAAAGTTATTCCCCTCTCCGATTTTTTTATTTTAGAATCTATTTGTCGCAAACGGCGCATGACCCCTAAAAACCCTTATACAAATGTCTTCCTCGTTTCCCAGGCGCCCCTAGCTCCATAGGCGCCCCTCTTTGGCATATAAGCGCCCTATAGTCATCATCAGAGACATCCCTATATGACCAACAGGCGCCCCTTGTTGCATAAAATGTGCCCTTGTCTTAGGCGCTACTCTTTTATTGACATTAGAGGCGCCTCCCTTTGCCATGCCGGCGCCCCTGTTTCGTATGAATGCACCCCTATGGCATTGATAGGCGCCCCTCTATTGCATGTGGACGCCCATATATGTAGGCCTCGGAGGCGCCCCTCTATTGCATGTACATAGGTGCCCTTACTGCCTCAGAGCCGCTCCTCTTTGGCATGCAGACGCCCGTCTTTCGTACGGAGGAGCCGCTATGGCATTGAAAGTCGCCCCTCAACTGCAGTCTGCATGTCGACACCCCAGTAGGCATCATATGTACCGTCTTTCGCAATCAGACACCCCTATGAGCATCACAGGCGGCCGTATGGGCATCGCAGGCGCCATGGGCGTCGAAAACGGAGGGACAGGGAGACGCGTCCCTTCGGTTGAGGAATCCGAGAGGCAAATCCCCCAAAATAAACACCCGAGGATTCTTAAAAATAACTATTTGCAGAATAGTCAACTCCGACCGTCTCCGGCTTCAACCCCGCAGTCGTGCAGACTTACATTAAATTTCCAACTTCTAGGAAACAAGCTGCACGGTTGATGCAGGACCACAAAACTTAGATTCATGTTGAATGATGTTGAGGGTTTCTTTGAAAATGAGCCCTATTATTATTGAAAGATAAGCAAGTAATAGCCTTTGGCTCATTGTATAATAGACAAAAGAAATATTCTTTTCTTTCCATTATTCTTTTCTTTTCTTTTCCATATTCTTATATTATATTCTTCCATTTCTTTTCCATATTCTTTTCTTTTCTTTTCTTTTCTATATTTCTATATTCTTTTCCATTTCTTTTGTCTATTATACAATGAGCCAAAGGCTATTACTTGCTTATCTTTCACAAAACTTAGAGGCTGCTTGACTCGGTGACCCGACCTTAGGTGTTCTGACCTCTTACATGCTACAAGGCTTGCTTGTGTTTTGTGTTTTGTGTTTTGGGGCTGTATTTTGACAAATGTTTTTGCCATTTTTCGCGACGCTTCGCGCCGCCGATTCCTACAGCAGTCAAAAAGAGAGATTGTGGCTGTAATATCTCCCCTCCTCCTACACGGGCATGAATGCATTATGTATCAGATTCAGATTGGTGGCATGCGTCAACAATTGGTACACCCTAAAAGAAGAGCAGTGGCTTTGCCCCTAATTGTGTCAAATTGAATCGGACTTCGGATGTCTACTGTAAAAAAATCCGGCTTGTAGGTACGACCTTTAACACAGATAGTGTATTGGGCTAAGACTTAACCCGCGCCCTGATGGGGGGGGGGGGGCCATTTTGGCCCCCCCCCCCCCCCCTGTGGTTTTTCTTAAATAGCGAGAGCCAAATTTTGGGTACCTTACCGGGCATCAATTTAACACCTTCACACAAAATTTCAAGTCACAGGTCACCTCAGGTCAGGAGTTATTGTGGTCAAACTGAGGTCATGTTCGAGCAAAAATGAGCA